TTATACAACAACTTTTATTAACAATTATATACAAGTAGTTATTTATTAGTTTTATTTTTATTTAATTATCATAATATATTTTTTTTTCTCACAACACATAAAATGAAACCATTGTATTTCTTTAACATCACAACAATTATAAAAGGAAAATAAAATAAAATAAAATTTAATTTAATTGTTCGTTGTTGGTATGAAGTTACATATTTACAATTAATAAAAATTTACTGTTTATTTTAAACTTCTATTAAAAATATAATACAATTTGAATAAATCATTAAAAATTTTAAATATGTAAATATGTAACTTCATACCAACAACAAAAATGATTCCACTAAATTAAATAATATGTATTTGTTTAGGCATAATAGAATTTCGGATTGAAATTTAAACAGATATATACATTAAATATATCTAATTTGTTGTCCAATAGTTTATGACAAAATTGTACAACAACTCAAATCAATTTAATTTAAAATTAAAAATGTAAATTTTGTCAAATTTTTAATATTGATGTTTTAAATAATATTTGTACCAAATAAATTTTTTCTTTACCATTTATTTCATTTTCTTTTTATAAATATTATGAATATAGTTAATTATAGTTTATTTTTATAATAATTTTTACAAACTTTATATAGTTGTTAAACTATGAATATACTAAACAAGGTTTTTTTTAATGAGTATAGTTTTTTTATAGTAAAACGACGAATATTTAATTTTGAATAGTTAAAGTGAGTTACTTTATGTCAAGGTGAGCTAATAGCCATATGTAATTTATATAATTTTTATATTTGAACGAAAAATACTTTCTTCACAAAAAGAAGATCAAAAAAGATTTTCTTTTTGTACTTCTTATTTTTAAAGTAAAGAAGAAAAACAACTCATTAAAAAAGTAAAAAAAGATAGCATTCGAATATTTTTTAAATATATCAAATTTTACTGTTTTTGAAAAATCTTTTCAATAAAAAAGATTAACAAAAAAAACTTTATATTTATTAACCATTTTTAATGATTAATAAACTATATTTAAATAGATTTTTTGTTATAAATTGTTTCGTATATTTAATAGTTTAACTTGATTTGATATTATTTTAACATTCGTCTTCTTGGAAAAAAAAGAAGAACAATATGAATACAATTTTTTTAATTATTTAGTTGAATAAAAAATAAAACAATAATAGCTTTTTGATTGTGGAACTTATTCCATATCAAAATTACATTTTTATAGGAAAACAGCGTTTTTCTAATATTAACAATCCTCTTCGAAATTCCAAATATTATTTTAAAAAGTTTTAAATAATCTTTATGAAAACACAAATCGAACTACATTCATAAATGATTTTCCCTTGTAATGGGATTATATTATTGGTTTTGTGTATCGTGAATACTTCTGGTAATTTATCATGTAAAAATGGTTATTATGTATTTAATTCTTATTGTGAGGAGTGTTTATCTGGTTTCTTCTGTCCAAATGGAAAAAACATTTATCCGTGTCCACCAGGAACTTATTCAGAATTTGAAGGATCCATAAAATGTGAAGATTGTAAAGAAGGGTTTTATTCAATAACAAATTCTTCTGTTTGTACTTCGTGTGTTTCAGAGACGTGTGCATCATGTGATAGAAAAACTGGTATTTGTATGGCCTGTCGTCCAGGAAGTGGGTTTGTGACAAACATCAAATGTGAAAAGTGTATACCTGGTTATTTTTCAAATGGAGGAACTGTTTCGTGCTCCCAATGTGCCCCAAATTATTATTCATTAGTTGGATTTCCAAGTTGTACCCCATGTGATTCTTTGTGTGCGAATTGTAGCCAAACCAACGGAAGTTGTCTTTCTTGTTATAAAGGGTCTCGATTATCCGAAGGTAAATGTGTAGTATGTCAAGCAGGAACATTTCAAAGTGGAGACAGTTGTTATCCATGTGGTGGTGATAATAGTTTTTCTCTCTCGAATAGTTCGAAGTGCACTTATTGTTATAATTGTACAACATGTGAAAAAAAAACCGGCCGGTGCACATCATGTGAAGAAGGATATACCATAAATAATGGTTTGTGTTTGATTTGTGCAAGTGGCACATTTTACAATGAAACAGAAAAAACATGTCAAAAGTGTCCCAAAGGGACGTATTCACTAACACCAGGAAGTGCAAATTGTTTAGAATGTCCAATTGGCTCTTACTCTGATAATGAAGGAGCATTATCATGTATTGAATGTGACGATTCGTGCAGTGAAAAACAGTGTACTCAAGAGAGTGGATATTGCGTTTCATGTCCAATGGGTAGTATCAAAAATACAAAAATATGTTCAGTTTGCAGTGGAGGGACTTTTGCAAATATGAAAACAAACACGTGTGATAATTGTCCAGCTGGAACTTTTTCAAAACCAAGTTCAATGGAGTGTACATCGTGTGAAGAAAACTCTTATTCACAAGAAAAATCAGAAACATGTACTGTATGTAGTAATACATGTAAAAGGTGTGATAAAACAAGTGGAAAGTGTATTACTTGTGTAGATGGGTATGGCTTGGATAGTTCTAAAAAATGTATGATATGTACAATTGGTACTTTTTCTTTGGATTCTGAATGTACCGAATGTGGTGATGGTTTTTATCAAAACAAAGATGGACAAAATGCTTGTAAACAGTGTAACTCTTCGTGTACTTCTTGTAGTAAAAACGAAGGAAAATGTTTTAATTGTAAACCTGGATATGGTTACAACTATGGTCAATGTACACTTTGTGGTGAAAATCAATATTCACTTGGTTATACTTCTCCATGTTTTCCATGTCCAATTGATTGTAATAATTGTAGTCGAGAAAGTGGAGTTTGTACAACATGTCAACCTGGATACAAGGAGACAACAAACGAATTATTCAAAAAATGTGTTTCTTGTTCTTCAAATAGCAATTGTTTTTCTTGTGATTCAAACGAAAATGAATCACAAAGAGAATGTGCCGAATGTTCAAGTGGATATTACTTAGACGATAACACGTGTTTGACATGCGCAAATATACCTTCATGTGTTGAGTGTTCAACAACTAAAAAAGAGTGTTATTCATGTGATAATGATTTAATAACAAATGGAACTCAATGTATTTCTTGTGTTACAGGAAAAGTAAAAACAAACAAAAAAACGTGTTTAGAATGTTATCTAGTTATTGACTATTGTCAACTTTGTGAATATAACAACGGAAGTCCAGAATGTACAACGTGTTATTCTCCTTATGTCGTTGAAAATAGAAAATGTGTTTTGTCATATACAAATGAGACTCATTATAATTACGAAACAAATAATAAAACATTGAATGAGAATGCGTGCCTCCTTCAAGTAAATTCTTCGTGTTTTTCTTGTGATATAAATGATTATTTACATGAAGAGATGTGTGAAAATAAAGATACAAATTGCCACAAATACTCCAAAACAACTTGTGAAATATGTGAATCTAATGTTATAACAACAAATGGAAATTGTTCATTAAACGAAGAATGCAAATATCAATTAACTCAAAATGAGAACAAAACTTGTTTGATATGCAACAATAACACGGATTGTGGACTTCATGTTACAAATTGTAAATATACACAAAATGAGTTTTGTTATTTAGCAACTCAAAATTATTACACAACTTATGAAAAATTTGGTCAAACCAAATCATGTGAAAATGCAGAAATTTGTCGAATGGAAAATGGCAAATTGGTTGACTTTACTTGCAATGATAATTTTGTGTTAACTCCAAATAAAAAATGTGTTACAGATACAAAGTGTCAAATAATAAGAGGAAGTGACTGTGTTATGTGCGATAAAGACAATCACATGAATAATAGTGTTTGCATTGCAAACAATGAAGATTGTTTAATTCAAAACAAAGACACGTGTATTTTATGTAACAATAAAATGACAGTTAAAGGAAATTGTGTTTCAATAGATTCTATTCAATGCAAAGATTTTAGTGATAATATTTGTAAATCGTGTGAAGAAACTTATTATAAAGACGTTGAAGGGTGTGTAACTAAAGTGGGCAAATATGACAATTGCCGATTTGTCAACGTCGTTTTGAATTCTTGTTATGAGTGCACCAAACCGTTTCTACTTATCAATAATACATGTGTAACACAAAGTGAAGAAAATGACACAACAAATGTTAATTCATCACTAAAAACAGCGAGTGAATACAACGACAATTGTATTGAAAGAAGTTCTAAAGGGTGTTTCAAATGTTCCGATGGTTTTTATTTGCACAATTCAAATTGCGTTTCCTGTAAATCTCCATGCTCTTATTGTTCCAACGAAACGTATTGTACAAAATGTGGTAAATATTCATATGCAACAAATGGTAAATGTGTGGAAATAAATGAATTATTGAGTACTTGTGATGTGATGATGTCAACATATGACGGGTGTGTTGTTTGCAAAGATGGGTATATGCGATCCTCAGATGGCAAGAAATGTGACAAGTGTGACATCTCTTGTAAAACATGTTCGAATGATGGGAACTGTTTTATTTGCAATGACACGTATTATAGAACTCCAAATAATATAACAAAATATTGCAATTCACAAGATGAACTTACAAATTGTGTGAATAAAACGACAAATGGGTGTACGCAATGTGAAGATGGATATGCATTAAAAGAAAATTTGTGTAAAAAATGCGGCGAAAATTGTACTTTTTGTGATAAATATTTTGAGTGTTCCAAATGTGAAAATGACAACATTTTAATTAACAATAAATGTATGCACTATTCGCAAATACAAAACTGCATTTCTTCTCAAAATTCCGTTTGTTCAAAATGTTCAGATGGTTATAAACTCAGTGGTGACAAACTTGAATGCAGTAAAAAGACCAATTATGGATTAGTCATAGTATTACCAATTATGTGTATTGTTGTAATATTATTTATAATTATCTTATTAATAACAATCATTTTAATAATATTCAATAAGAAGAAAGAAAATATATTAACAGAGAATATCTGTATCTTTAAGATGAAGCGCTCTAATATTATAATGACTAAATTAAGTGATGACATTTTATCAAACAAACAAGAAATTATGTTTGGTGATGACAGTGATAGAATACACATTGAATGTGAAAGTCGTGAATTGTTTTGTGTTGGTAACAACAAAAAAGTAAATATGAAACTTCAAATCACCACAAAAGAGGGGTGTGACAAATATTCGATACGGACAGAGCCACAATTAGTCACACTTAAGAGTGGAGAAGCGTGCGAATTCGAAGTCTTTTTAACACCATTTTGCACTATGAATTTGTGTGATGAAATAATGATAATCTCACTGGACTTAATTAACGGGAAGAAGGAAACAACTTCTGTTAAAATAAAGGCACAAACAGAAAATTCAACACGACTGGATTACGACGAGTTGATAGAAGACAAGAAACTTGGCGAAGGCTCCTTTGGAATAGTTTACAAAGGAAAGTATCAAGGAAACATAGTTGCAATAAAAAAGATGAAAGAAACAAATCACGACGATAAGAATCAAAAAATTGAATTTAAAAAGGAAGTTGAGATGTTAGACAAATTCAGAAGTGAGTATATCGTCCATTTCTATGGCGCCGTGTTCATACCAAAGAAGGAATGTATGGTCACTGAATTTGCTCAATTTGGGTCTTTAAAAGATTTAATGAGAAGAATGAAAGATGTTGATATTAGAATGAAATTGCGAGTTAAAATGATGTTAGACTGCTCTAAAGGAATACTTTATTTACATTCAAATGATATATTACACAGAGATATTAAGCCGGATAATTATCTAATATTCTCTTTGGATATTAATGACTGTGTAAATGCTAAATTGACTGATTTTGGAAGTAGTAGAAATGTAAATATGTTGATGACGAACATGACATTCACTAAAGGCATTGGAACACCAAAATATATGGCGCCTGAAGTTCTTGACAAAAAGAAATACAAGAAGGCCGCTGATGTTTACTCTTTTTCTTTAACTATGCTTGAAATAGCTATGTGGAAAGAAGTGTTCCGAAAAGATGACAAAGACTTCAAATATGCTTGGAACATTGCAGATTTTACAAGTAGTGGAAAGCGTTTGCATATTCCGGATAACGTTCCAATGGAATTGACTAGTTTGATAACATCAAGTTGGACACAAGACCCACTTGAAAGAGCAAATATCAATATTGTGGAAATTGGACTTGAAAAGTTTTATAACACAATTTAATTTGTTTTGTTATTTTTTTATAGTTATATTAATTGTGTGTTGTAATACATATTATAAACATTTGAAAACAATAAATGTGTTTTACAAACTTGAGATTTCTTGAATTTTAGACATTTGAATAAAGTTCAACATAATTTAAAGAATTAATAAAACATAATATCATTATTAATTTTGAACAATGTAAATTAGATTAATTGGAAGATATAATATTACACCAATTTAATTTTATGCCTTTTAAAAAGTTTGTATTCTAACCATAATTATTCTATTACATTTATATAAAAATCTTTGGTTTTACTATTTTTTTAAAAAATGGAATTTACATTTCAACAAATAAATGGTGTATTGTTAAGGATATAACCCATATATTGACTTTTTTAATTATTATAAATAATTTCAATAATGAGTAACTGTATAATGCTCATAACATTACAAAATTAATTCTGATGAAAAACACCAAAAATGGCTTTACACATTGTTAAAAACAAGTCAAACAATAAAAATTAATGATGTTTTAAGTGTTAATAAATATCAATTTTAAACTAAAATGAAAAAAAAATGATTACATCATGTTTTGCAAAGCATCAACAATTTGTTGAATAGTCGCACGCTCTTTGGTATTTTGAATCCAAGCACTCTGTATTAATTTAAATTGCTCATTAGACATATCATTTCCAATTTCAAGTCGCTTACCAGCGACTACGAACTCGACGATGTTCCACGGATAATTAAAATTTTCTTTGTTGTAACATTTTTCCCAATTGAAAATTTCATACATGGTTATTGCAAAAGAGAAAATATCACTTGGCATTCGATATTTTTCTTTATTCAACACTTCAGGCGCCATGTACTTTGGAGTTCCAACTCCTTTAGTGAAAGTCATGTTAGTCATCAACAAGTTGATGTTTCTACTACTTCCAAAATCAGTCAATTTAGCATTCACTTTGTTTTCAAAATCCATTGATACAACTAAAATGTTGTCTGGCTTGATATCTCTGTGTAAAATGCCATTGTTATGTAAATACAAAATTCCTCGAGCTGCATCATACACAAATTTGTTCCTCATTAGATTTGAAATATCTCCACGACTCTTATGAATCATTATATCTTCTATACTTCCACATTCAGCAAATTCAGTGACTAAACTCATTTTACTTGGTACACAAACTGCACCAAAGAAGTTGATAATAAAATCACAATGAAACTTTTCTAACATCTCAATTTCTGAGATAAATTCGAGTTGTTTGTCATCTGTTTCATTGACTATTTTTAATTTTTTTATTGCGACTTTCTGCTCCCTGAAAACTCCTAAATAAACAACGCCAAAAGATCCTTCACCAAGTTTCTTATCTTCAATAAGTTCATTTGGATCAATTCGAGTCGAAAGCTCTGTATTAAAAACAATTTGATAATCAAAAACGGTTTCTTTGGCTGTTTTAAAGTCGATGTAAATCAATTTAAGTAAAGAAGAAATTTTACATGTACAATTTGGGGTCACCAAAATTTCAAATTCACACGCTTCGCCATTTTTGAGAACGACAATTTGTGGATTAATTTGAATTGTTACTCTTTCATCTGTAATCACACTCAATTGTAATTTTATGTGGTGTTTCGACTTGTTTCCCAAACATAGAAGTTCGCGAGTTTCTTTATTAACTGGAATTTGAATGTTATCGAAGTCAATCAACTTTTTGTTTGAACTTAAAACTGAATCTAAACTGGTAAAAATTAAATTTGATCTTTCCATTTTAAATATTGTTTTCTCTTCTGTATTTTTGTGTTTTTTAAAGATAAAATAGAGCGGTAATATGATAATTGATATTATAATTATAATTAATAGTATAATAGAAAATAGTATGACAATGTATACCCATATCTTCGTCTTTTCTTTACAAAAGTTGTTTTTGAGAATAAAACCATTTTCACACGTAACACAAAGTCCAATTTTAGCACTTGTACAATGTTGAATTAATACCATGTCAACACATTTTGTCATGGAAAATACGAAATTGTCAAAACAGCTCGTGCAAACAGTTTCAGAATCACACGACAAACAATTTGGATGACATTTTGTACAAAAGCCGTTTTGATTGAGATAATACCCTTTAGAGCAATTTAAACATGTATGTGAACCTGCAGTGACACAATTTGCTATTTGAGTGGTACTTACACAACGAGAATTATTCATAAAATAATGTTCTGCACACGTCAAACAAATAGTTGAATCTTTGATGCAAGTGTCACATGACAAGTGACACTTTTCACAGTTTCCTTCTCGATTCATTACATAACCAGATAAACATATTGCACACTTTATTTTATTTAATTGAAAAATCTGACACCCATTTTCGGTATTAAGCAATTCACAGGAAAAACCTTGTAATGTGTAATTTATATCACAAACCGCACATTCATTTGGACTATAGCAAATTCTACAATGTGATGGACAATTCACACATTTGGAATTATACAAATAATACCCCACATCACATCTAATACATCCAACTGATTGAACTAACGCGCAATTTGATGTTAAAATTGTTTTTGTTGTTTGCATTAATTGCCTGTTTTGTTTTGTATCAACTTCGCACGTTGATGTATCAGACAAATAATATTCATTTCTGCATTTTAGACAAAGGGATTCAGAACAATATTCACAATAAGTTGAACAATTTTCACACATGGAATTCTGATCTCCTGTTTTATACAATTCAATTGAACAAGTGGTACAAATGTTATCATTAATTTCTGTACATTTGTCATAAAATAAACATTCTTTTGTTTGTGGTACTATCAAATAATTCGGTTCGCAAATATCACAACCATCATAATTACACTTTTCGCAATTTTGAGTACATAAAGAACAAATACCATTTTTAATTGTAGCGCCATTCTGACATGTATAACAATATCCATTGTAACTAATTTCACAATGTGTTTCTTTTAACTCACATTTTGTTGAATCTTCGGATAAAGTATGATTAATTGCACATGCTTTACATTGGATTTGATTGTTAATAAACACACAAGAATTACAATATGAAGGACACTCTTCGCATGTATTATTTATATTCAAATAATAATTATCATCACATAAAAAACAATTAAAATTAAAGTAAAAGGAACAATGTGAAACAATTTGTTGAACACATTCTAATGAAGTTTCAGTTGTAGTTTTATTAAAAGAACATTTTAAACAACTTTCTTCTTTACAAATGTCACAATTGTCAATCTCACATGATAAACATCTTCCTTCTATTGGATACATTAAATTTGCACAACTTTCACATCCCAAAGGCATATTGTAAATATCACAATCTTTTTTAGAAATTATAAAACATTTTCCATTTGAAATTGAAAAGCCAGTGACACAATAAACACAAAATGAACTGTTGAATGAACATGATAAACAACCATATTCACATCTCTCACATTGATTTAATGTATTTAAACCATATCCTGAATCACAAAATATACATTCATAAATCGTACGACTCGCCATTTGACAATTGTCAAAATAAATTGAAGTTTCCCAACAATAATTATTATATGGAAAATATCCATAATCACATACATTTTCAAATCTAATGCATTTGGAGGTATTTTGATTATCGACACATTGTACGCATTTGAAATTATCATTTAAAACGTAGGGAAGACTACACTTCGAACAAACTTTTCCATTACATTCCAAACAGTTATTATCATTGTCACAAATAAGAACACAAATCCCATTTGAAATGTAATACCCATTTTGACACAATTCACACTCATATGAATCCGTTGTACATTTATTACAATTTGTAATATTACAATCAACACAAATTCCATTAAAAAGTGTTTTTTCAGCAATACATTTTGAGCATCCCCACTGTGTTGGATCACACAAAACACAATCGTCTATTTCAGAAATACAATCATAACAATAATTATCAAACAAAGAAAGTCCGTATTGACAAGATCCAAATTGTGGAGATACACAATCTGAGTTTTGAGAAGTACATGAAATACAACTTCCATTTGAAGAAACTGTATACCCATGTTTACAGCTTAAACACTTAAATTCGGTTTGGGAACAATATAAACAATTTTCAATGGCTTCTTCACAAATTGAACAATTTAAATAATCAACAGTTGGAGTATAATTGATTTCACATTTTAAACACTTTTGTACTGTTCTGTCACCTTCAACGCAGTGCATTATAGCTTCTGAAAAGGATACACAAATACCTTTTTTAAATGTATATTGTTCTTCACATAATATACATTTACTTTCATTTTGAGAACACCAATAACAATGTTCAAACATTTGTGAACAAATCTTACATCCATTTAAAGTTGAATTAAATGTATATCCAATTTTACAAGTTATACATTTTTGTTCCATTTGTGAACAATTCTCACATCCTTCGAAAATGGAAGAACAAGATTCACATGAGTTACCAAATGAAGGAGTGGCTCCATTTTTACATAAAACACATTTGGTTGGTTTACAAATTTCACATTTCTCACATTCTATACAAATGCTATTATAAAGAATGAACGATGAATTGCATTGAATACATTCGTTGTTGTTGCATTTAGAACATCCACTTTGTTCATTACAAGGTATACAAACTCCAGATTGTAAAATGAAATTTTCTGAACATCTTAAACAACTCGTACTTGAACAAAAATCACAATTCGTTGTACATGCGTGACATTTACTTGATGACTTATCATAATAATATCCAATTTTACATGATAAACATAAAGTTGTATTTGTATAGTAACAAGTGTGGCAATTATCTGAACATTTATCACAAAATTTATATGGATCAACATATCCGCTTTGACAATTTCTTGGATAGTCCATGTTACTACAAGTATCTACACCATTTGTTTGATATTGAGTTGGACATACTATTTATTATTTTTTTTATTAAATAGAACTATTAATAACAAACCAGAACACGTGTTATTATCTAATAATCTATAATGAACATCACAACTTAAACATGTCGTTATATTTGAACAAGTAATACAACCAGGAATAATTTGGTTACATAAAACACATTTTGAATTAGTTAAAGCGTAAAAAGTATTACACGAAGTACATTCATATTCTGTATTGCAAGTTAAACATTCATTTGAACAACTTTGACATGTTTGTGTGGTTGTATTATAATACATCCCATCTTGGCAATCATTTACACATCCAATTTTGGAACACGAAAGACATACACCATCAACTAATTTGAATCCACGAGAGCATCTAAGACAGTTATACGAATTTGTACATGATTCACAATCGTTTTCACAGCCTTGGTGTTATTAATTGTTTTTTATGAAAAAACAAACTTATACATTGATTAGTATGAAGATAAAAACCTTCTTTACAAATAATACAATTTGTCAAATTTGAACAAGTTTCACAATTTGAAGGACATACTGAACATATTTGAGATGTTGTTGATACATAATCTAAAAAATAACCATCTTGGCAACTTGTACAATACAATTCAGTTGTACATGTGTGGCATCCCTTTCTACATTCTTAAAGTTATTGGGGTTGTTTTAAATCAATAACAAACTGAAACAATAATATAACGCATTGTCTAAATGACTTCCCTCTTTACATCTATCACACAAATTCAAAGTACAACGAGCACATTCATCATATTTACAATTGTTTAAAGTTAAAGATAAATTAATAAACATAAATAGCAACGACAATAATTGCATAATCATTTTTGGTTTATTTGAATCTTTTTTTAAATGTTGTTTTTAAAAATATTTTATTTTTTGTCGTTTTTTATTGCCTATCCTTTGAAAAACAATCAAAATGTTATTAGTAATTAATTAAAATTGTAAATTGGTGATAATTTAAATTGTTTTTAAATGAGTTTTATATTTATTGTTTTTCATTTTATTAAATAGTTTTAATTATCAAATTATGATTTCAACTATTTATACCAATAAACCTTATTATACCGTTAGTGTTTTAAAAAAATCACAATTAAAGACTAAATAAAAAGTAGTCTATTTGACAAAAATTTAAACAAAACAAGTTTAAAAAATCATAAAATAGGAAAAATGTTAAAATACAGAAAAAATAATTAAACAATGTTTTGAAGTGTTTCGAACCATTTCCCGAAATATTTAAGTTTTGATGGTTTAAAAATGCACAGACATCTTTTTCAAACTAATTATATTTTTCTGTAAAAAGTGGAAACCATGTATTAAAATAAAACATAATTTTAATTATAAAAATAATATAAAAAATTTACAGTCAGCCGAATCAACCTTTTGCAACGAAACAGCCTTCTGCGGATTGTTTTTATAAAATAACCATAAATAATAACAATTTAAACCATTTTAATAGTATTTTTTTAAGTTCAAATAAATATATTTTTATCCACAGTGTTTTATTAATACACCTTCTGCAGAATGTAATTTAATCTTATAAATATCAAAAAGTTAAAAAAAATAAAACCAAACTAAAAACAAACAGTAAACAGTTAACAAACAAATTACATAGACACTGAGCCAGACAACATTCTCGTGTTTTCAATTAATTTTAGTAACGAAGTGATAACAAAATTGACTGACTTTAGATATGTAAATGTATTGATGACTAACATTGCATTTACTTAATAAGTTGGTACACCAACATACATAATGCCTAATGTGTTAAACATAGAGAAGAACAAAAAATGCAGATATCTCTTTTTTGGCGTGACGTTATTCGAATGTGTAACATGGAAAGACCCATTCCAAAAAACAGTTTATGTTTGGATGAATATCGTCCATATTTTTGAAACTGAAAAAGTTGCCAAATTTAAACGACGACACTTATTGTTGTAGATGATATGCAGTACCACATCGTTTATAAATGAATAAAAATTTAAAATTGTTTTAACTAAATTATAAATTATTAACACTTTTAATTATTTTGAATTATAATTATTATAATTTTTGTTACCTAATGCCCGATGTTTAGACAAAAATACAGCCATTAAAGTTTAATCAGATAACTTTTTCAAACAGATAACGTTGTTAGACTGACTCTAATTGATATGTGTAATTTTTTAATGCATTTTATTTTTTTTATTAATTAATAACATTAGAATTAAACACAAAAAACGAACAAAATAAGAGTTAGTGATTATTTACTTCCCCAGAAAACGTCTTTATCTATTCCTTGAGCTTCATAGAAAGCGGCCCCATCACATGTTCTTTCATCTCTATCGAGTTTTTTAATTTTCTCCATTTCCTCATCAGACAAATCGAAGTTGAAGATATCAATGTTTTGAATAATTCTTTCTGTATGAACTGATTTGGGTAGAGTTGAATGTCCTGATTGCACGATAAATCTCAAGATAACTTGTGCGACTGTTTTCTGATGTTTCTGAGCGATTTCCTTCAACAAAGGAACTTCGAGCACGTTGTCGACTTTATTTCTAGCTGGATTTCCGTTATTTCCAAGTGGAGAGTAAGAAGTGACGTGTATATTATGCTCTTTGCAGTATTCCATCAGCTTTGGTTGTTGTAAGAAGATGCCAAACTCGACTTGGTTGACGGCGGGCTTAATCTTAGCGATACTCAATAATTCTTCTAATTGTGAAATAGAGAAGTTAGACACACCAATTGATTTAACTAATCCCATCTCAACAAGTTTCTCCATTTCTCTCCAAGTCTCTTCTATTGGAACTTCAATAAAATCGTCTTTTTTTAATGGAAATGTAGCACCCAATTTAATTGAAATGGGCAAATGAATGAGATACAAGTCTAAATAGTCTAAATGGAGTTTTCTAAGTGATTCTTTGCAAGCGGAAATCACTTGGTCTTTTTTCTTTGAATCAATCCAAAGCTTTGATGTCACAAAAACGTCACTTCTTTTAAATTTGCCTTCTTTGAAAAAGGGGTCGAAAGCAATAGTCCCAATTTCTTCCTCATTTTCATAACACTTGGCACAGTCGATGTGGCGATAGCCGTGGTTCAAGGCAGTCAAAACAGCATTTCCAACAAGATCTTTTTCTGCGAGCCAAGTCCCTAATGCAATCGCTGGAATTTTTAATCCATTGTTGAATTCAAATTCAATTGTTTTGTGGTCGCTCATTTGTGTTTTTAAATTCTTTTTGAGGTTTTTATGTGATTTTTTGGAATGTTTGTATAGATGAATAAAATAATAAAAGATTTGTTAATTTTTTAACAGTTTGTTTTAAATTCCAGTTAACGGAAAAAGTGGGATACTGAGAAAAAGGGGGATGCTAATCTAAATATTAATTAATTTAATATTATTAATAATAAATATAAATTTATTTTGGTTTTTTCGTATTTTTAATTTTTTGATTAATAATTTATATTAAAATTAATAGTAATTTTATTATTTTTCAATTGAAATTAACCAATAGTTACAAGCATCCTCCTTTCTCTAGCATCCCCATATTTCCTCGTTCTGTAAATAAAATTTTGATAATAAAAACGTCAATATTTTACTTTCTTCAATCTACAAAACTGAATAGAAACATCTTTGCGAAGATTTCCTATTTTTGGTAAAAACTTATTTAAATTGTAATTTATTGGTCTAAAAACCATTATAATTAAAAGGACACAATTTTAATTAAATTTTTTTCTAACAATTACAATAAAAACATGTAAATATTAAATAATCTAACAAGAAAAGCCGCGTTTTATAAGACAAAATATAAAATAGTGTATTAACTAGGGTTTGAAAAACAAACAATATTAAATGGAAATTGAATTAGATAAACTGTCCGATTCTGAGAGAAATCAAATGGTTAAAATAAAAGGCGTGAGAAAGGCTTAACAAAAGGAATGTTTTATAAAGAAGTCCAAGATTTGTTTTCGATGTCTTTTCGCGACATTTCAACAATAAAAAAAGACTTAAAAGAAGACAAGCCAATTGTTTTAAAAAAAGAAAGGAAGAAAAATAAAATATGACAAAGAATTCACAAAGAAAGTAGTCGAATTGACATCAAAAGATATTTTTTCTTCTTCAAAAATTATTGGAAAAGAAACAAAAAGTAGTGCATCAACAGAATCAGACACAAAGAAGGATTCATTTATACCAAACAAATCCAAAGACCTAGCATGAAACCAATTCACTGTAAAAAGAGACTTGAATTTTGTAAGAAACAGACAGAAAAACGCTCTAAAGTGGATGCATTAAATAAATGGATGAATAATACAATATACTCTGATGAAAGCCGATTTTGCTTGCTATCTGATGGCCGTTGTATTTGGAGGAAAAGGGGGAGTATCCAGAAGGATCTTTCGTGGATTGTTCTAAATACAACGTGTCTACAATTGTGTGGGGAGGCATAGGGAGAAATTTTAAAACAAAACTATCTATTTGTCAAAGTTGCATGAATAAAGATGGTTATGTTGAAATGTTAAAAGAAAATGAAGTTTTTGTAGATGCCAAAAAAGTTTACGGGAAAAGATTCTACTTTATGCAGGACGGGGTTCCATGCCACACTGCAAAAAACACGATTCATTGGTTTGAAGAAAATGGTGTTAAAGTAGTCAAAAACTGGCCACCATATTCCCCTGATCTTAATCCAATTTAGAAATTATGGAGCGTCATGGAGAATCGTCTAAGATTAAAAAGAGCTCGTTTCAAAATGTAAAAGAGTTAAAAAAAGGAATTATTTGCTGTATAAGATTCTATTTCTATGGAAGAAATCAACAATTTGATTGATTCTACACAAAAAAGTTTGCATTGTGTATTGAAAATTGTGGACAATTTATTGGATATTTACTTTAAAAACAAAGTATAAATTATTTTTACTTCCTTGTTTTCTATATCCTCGATATTAGTTAATTTAGTTGATTTATTCTTTGATTTTAAAGGTTTTTTTATTTTATATTGAAAAAACGTTAGAAATAAAGTTGTAGTAAATAATACAAAAAAACAAAATAATATGATGGTTTTGTTTTAAACAATGTGATTATTTGGGTTATATCAGTGCCACCAAAAGGTATGTTTTTATTGGAAGTGAATTTCATTAAAACAATGGGAAGATTTTTTAACCCCAAAAATTCAAAATTGTTTTTAAAATTACCATTTTTAATATAAGTGCCGTAATTATTTATTAATTAAATGTAATCATTAGTAAAATATTATAAATCATAAACCTGCTAGTAGTAAATATATTATATAAATAATTATAATTAGTAGTAATTATTTTATTTTTTTTAAACTAAAACTAAAACTAATAATAATTATTATTATTGTTAATAATTAAAGATATTAATAAACAAGAAATATAATGCTTTAAAAACTGGGATATATATATGTTATTTAATAATTTAATAATTTAATGAAATAAAACTATAATATATATTAAACAATATGCTGATAATAAACCTCTGTACATTAGTAAATAATAGTTATATTATTATTTAATAAAAAATACAAAAATTGAAATTTTTCCATAAAAATAAATGTTTTTGTATTTATTTGTTATTATTATAAAAAATAATAAAACAATTATTATATTAATAGTTTTCTTCAATTTGTAAATTCCAAGAATAACGAATTTTTTTAAAACATGACAAGTGCCCACAAATTTATACAATTTTAGACTGATGTAGGCGGTTTTTAATAATGATGAAAATATTACCATTTTTATTAATTTATGAAACAAAACAGTAAATTTAGTGTGGTCATTACACCTTATGCCAATTTTTCATAAAAAAATTATAATTAATATAAACTAGTTGTATAATTTGAAAATAAAAAGGTTTTTGTTCTTTTTTGAAAATTATTAAACTTTATAAAGATTATAATTCATTTTAAATTATTTGTAATAATATACATAAGACTTAGTTATTATAAAATAAAAAATAAACAAATCACCATCAAACAAATTCTAAATAATAAAAAAGTAAACAAAAATGAATTTCTCTCAAAGGTTTACACATTTTGAAAACTCCATCTACAAAATATTTACAACATAGATCACACGAGGAAGAAGGAAATGCATAGTGTCTTGAATACAGAGTGTTAAAGGTAGAGAAGTAGCAAATACTTAAAAGAGGAAAAAAATATCTAAGGACTGAAGAGGAGAAAGGTTCCTAGATAACCTTAATTGGATTGGGGTGAATCGATCCTAAACAACAAATGTAGATTTAGTAGAAAAAACTGAGCTTAAAAAGCATTTACGCATGAAAGGGAAAAAGACTAAAAGTTCTTTATAAATAGTCAAAAAGTCAAAAAAAGACTGAGAAAGTGGTAACAGGAAATGAAGTTTGGTATGGGGTATGACAATAGCAACAAGAGATCTCTTTTCTTGTTAACACGGAGGAATGGGTATTTGAATAGAGTCAATCAGAGGTATGACTGTTATACCCATGAAAGAAACGGAGCGGTTTCACATTCTTCAAACAACTATTACAAAACTTTATGAAATGAAGCAAAAAAAATACAAATGTGATAAGAACAAGAAGTTGTGCATAATTAATTGACTCGTTATAATATTTTATGTTTGCTAAACATTGCAAAGAAGTCTAAAAGAATAAAAGAATATGAAAATAGTAATCTTTAATGTTTTTGAACTTTTTTACATTTTTTATTGGTCATTTTTATGTTGCTATTTTTGCCTTCTTTATTTATGTAACTGACGTTGTATATTTATTGTTGAAGGTTTATCGAATAACATTTTTATAAACCTTAAAATGTTATTTGTTTATTGGAATTAATTTTTTTCCATCAACACATTTGAAATTTTAATGGGTTGGAACAAAATTTTTAAAATTCACTTCCAATAAATTTTTTTTGGTGGCACTGGTTATATTTAAATGGTAATATTAATTTATGGTTTCCAGTTTATTTAACATTATAAAAAACCGAAAAACGAATTATTCAAAACTTGTAAATTAAACACATTTAAAACATTATAAAAAATATGTTTTTATTCATCAGTATAGATTATTTTATTATAAATTATAAAATGATGTAATTTGAATGTTTTTGAATTAAAAAGCTTTTTAAATTTATAAAAAACTACATATACATTAAAATGTTTTTCTTATATTTATTAATCATTTACAACAGAGCAATTTATACTCAGGTGTGCTACGCCAAAGGAACAAAATGGTATGATGGATTTACTGATGTTGATAACGCTAACATTAACAACACACTTTGTTATTCAAACACTAATTATCATAATTACTTTTTTAAACAAGACATGTATTTCCCTTTTAATCAACAAGCTTATTTTAGCGCATTTGAGTTTAACAATTCGTTGACACTAAACTCTATATATAAAACAAATGTGGCTTATTTGAACATTGAGTATTTTAAAGTCCGAGATGGGGCCACTGTGACAACATCATCTTTTATTCATTCAAACAACACATTATTTATATACAATGGAACTTTAATAATAAATTCAAACTTTTCTATTGCAAACACATTCGCAGAAAAAGGAGCTGATATTGACAATCCAAGAGTTTTGTTATGGAAATCGTCGTATCTTCACTTGCATTACAATTTTATTTATAACAAAAATTTTTATATTACTAATCCAGATGGTAAAACGACATGTTTTGATGTTATTTCATTGAACTCCCCAAATATTTTGATATCAACATTTGGTCGGGGTAATTACAATTCTTCACATTTTCCTTTCAAATTTAGTTCTGGTACTGGTTATCTTATTTCCAATCAAAGACTGATCAGGTTCTGCCCAACTGGAAAAACAAACAATAATGTTACATGTACAATGAAGTCTTCTAAATATCAAAAGTACTTTAATGTTAATAATGATATAGAAGACTACCCATTTGACTATCCCCATTGTCCTTGTGATGATAATGTCACTATATGTTATTTAAACTTTTTAACCACATTATCTAAGATTGATTTACAAAACAATTCTATTGAATATGCAAACGTGTTTATTGACAAAGATATGATATTTGAGAATGGAGGTACTATTAAAAAATTAATTTAAATCAAAATGTAAAAGTCACTGGAAGTTTAATAATGTCAATGGTGACAATACAATCATATGGAACATTAACATTTGTGGAATCCACACAGAACATCGACTCCACTTTAGTTTATCTGATATATAGCTCGACTTCTAAAACGTTGTTTTGTAACGGAAATATGGAATATTCACTTAATATCACAAATTCTGAAAAGGTGCTCCAATTGAGTTGTGGTAAGAAATTATCAACTCTAACAGTACCGACAAATCGATTGTTATTTTTATCAGATACAATAAGAACTGTTGATTCATTTATTTTTACATCATATATTGAATACTCTTACTTTCATACTAATACTGTATTGAACTCACCTCAATTAAATATTAAAGGATGTACACTTTATAAAATCAGTTTAACTTTGAAAAAATGTTTGTTGTGTGAAGATAAAAGAAAATCATTTAACAATGTTTGTCAAATAAACAATTGTGTTGAATATAATGACAATGGACGATGTGTTTTTTGTGCCAAATTTTCTGTATTGAATGAAAGTAGAATGTGTGGAACTTCTACTTCTTGTGAATATGGGTATAATAACAATTGTTTTAAATGTTCAAAGGAGTATATTTTAAAGAATGGAATTTGTGCTCAAAAACAATCAAATTGTCAAATCACGGATGGTAATTTTTGTAGAAAATGTACTTCTGGTGTTTTATATGGTGTGTGTGATGTTTGTTCATCCCATTGTATTCACTGTGATGGAACTTTAGAAAACAAGTGTATAATATGTGACACAAATACAATATTGGTCAATGGGACTTGTATTAATACAGAAGAAGGTACAACAAATAACGAAGAATCGATGTCATGTGATAATGGTTTATATATAGATAATGGTATTTGTTACAATTGTACAGATAATGTCAATCAATTTATAACGTGTGACAAAATGAAAGTGACACAATGTGAAGCAAATTATTATATCAATGCAAATGAAAATAAGTGTATTACTAATCAATGCAATGAGGATGAAATGAAAGAAGAAAATAATTTGTGTTCATTAAAAATACCAAATTGTAAATATTCTTTAAATTCTCGATGTATAGAATGTGTAGATTATTGTTATTTGGATCCGACCAATAATTGCGTACCTTTAAATGACATCAATTTTACTTCAAATTGTGAAACAATAAACCACTTTGGATGTGTGAGATGTGTAGATGGGTATTATTTAGAGTCAAATAAGACATGTGCGAAGTGTAACACTTCTTTGTGTCAAACTTGTTATTCTTCTTCATATTGTTTGACATGCGCTGAAAACAAATTTCTCTCAAAACACGAATGCAAATCAAATGAAAATTTAATTGGAAAATGTAACAAATTTGTTACAAGTGGAGGGTGTAGTGTATGTTCAGATGGATATTACAAAAATGGGTTGGACTGCTTTAATTGTTACATCTCGTGTTCTTCTTGTATTTCTTTACCAACAAAATGTCTCAAGTGCAATTCAACAAACTTTAAAACGACTTCGGGAAATTGTCTACCCCGTTCACTTTTATCAAAAAGTTGTGATGTTGAAGTGACAGAAAGCGGGTGTTCAAAGTGTAAAGATGGGTATTACCAAATCGACTCAAATCAATGTCAAAAATGTGACGATAATTGTAACACTTGTAACACTTTAAATGTGTGTCTGACATGTTTCTCTGACAAAATATTGATTAACTCTGTTTGTTCTAATTTCACTTCTATTCAAAACTGTCAAGCAGTTTCCAATTCAAAATGCTCAAAATGCACTTTTTGGAACACTCCAAGTCAGAATGGCACTTCTTGTGTTAAGAAAGCAGTATGGTGGGTTATTCTTATTATCATTTTGTTCATTATTCTAAACATTATTATTGTTTTTATTATACTAACTTAAACAATAAAGGTTTATTTGAAGTATTCAAAAGAACAGCAAACGAGATATGATATTAGTATATTTTCTATGAAAAATTCGAATATTTCTTTTTTGAAAACTACAAACAAAAACATCATGTTAAATAAGACTGAAATTGCATTTGAAAATGAAAATGACACACAAAAAGAAATTCCAGTGGCTGTTGAAAGTCGTGAATTGATATGTGTTGGCAATGTTAGTAAAAACACATTAAAAGTGCAATTTTCTCTCAAAAATTCAACTGATAAATACTCAATACGAGTCGAACCACAAATTGTTATAATCAAGAAAGGTGCAGCGGTTGAATTTGAAATTTATTTGCACCCAAATTATTCATGTAGAATTGATGACAAAATAGTGTTAATATCAGTAGATATGAAGAAAGGTGTAACATCTGAAATGCCAATTAATATAAAAGCAGTAACACAAATTTCAACTCGTTTAGATCCCGAAGAATTAAAAGAAGAGAAAAAGATTGGCGAAGGATCTTTTGGAATTGTTTTCAAAGGAATTTTCAGAGGAAACATTGTGGCAATCAAAAAATTAAAATTTACTTCAAATGATATAAAGTCACTTGAGGAGTTTGAAAAAGAAGTTTCTATGTTAGACAAATTTAGGAGTGATTATATCATCCACTTTTATAGTGCCGTATTTATTCCAAATAAGGTGTGTATGGTCACCGAATTCGCTCAATTTGGAAGTATTGCAGATTTGATGAAAAATAAAAAATCTGACGAAATTGATATGAAAATACGAGTTAAAATGATGTTAGATGCTTCAAGAGGAATTATGTATTTACATAACAATGGGATTTTGCACAGAGATATTAAACCAGATAATATTTTAGTATTCTCATTGGATTTAAATGATAAAGTGAATGCTAAATTGACTGATTTTGGAAGTAGTAGAAACATCAACTTGTTGATGACTAACATGACGTTCACTAAGGGTATTGGAACTCCAGTCTATATGGCGCCTGAAGTGTTAAAACAAGACAAATACAAAAAGAGTGCTGATATATACTCACTTGCTATAACTATGTATGAAGTATTTTGTTGGAGAGAAGCTTACAATAAAACTGAATTCAAGTTTCCATGGAAAATAGTTGAGTTTGTTATAAGTGGGAAAAGGCTCCAAAATCTAGAAACGATTCCAAATGAATGTTTTGATATTATCAATAATTGTTGGTGCCAAAATTCAACAGAAAGATTGTCAATTGCAATCATTTCTGAAAAACTAGTACATTTATTAACAAACACAATTAATTAAATTGATTCATATGTTTTTGTTTTCACATTTTAAGTTGTGTTATGAAATAATTATAATAAGTAATATATATTTTAACAAACCTGAATTTTTTTTGTTATCTGTATAAAGTCATTCTTAAAACAGTGCAACTTTGACGTGTCAGTGCAACTTTGTTTATAGTATAATTATAATAAAATAATTATATGTTTTTTAGAAACAAAACAAGAAAACACAGCCAAATTTCTTTAAAACTATTACTCTAATTAATATACTATAACTAAACTATAACTAAAGTTGTAAAATTTTTCTCAATCGGTTTTTTGGGTTGCATCATTCAACAGTCTCGTGTTTATCGAAATTTTGCAGCGAAAAAGTTTTTGAATCACACGAATTGGCTTGTCTCATTATTTTCTTTTTTTAAAGAGATGTTTAAAAAAAGAAAATATCGATTGAGTGATCCACAATCGATATACAGATGGAGGATAAAGTTGGTGACAAGGATAATGTCAGTGACAAAATAGAAATAACCCGTTTTTCTGAAAAAGTATAAAGTTCAATACTTGTATTTCTTTATTAATCCGGGGTTTTGATCCCAATAAATGGATGGTAAAGGTAAAGTAGGTGACAACACTCCTATGCTATTTTTTCGTTGTTTTCCAAAAAATTGAAGGGAAAAAAGACTGTAAATTTTAAAAACACAAAAAGGGCAATAATGTGTTCAAGCTTTTCTGAAAAAAGTGATCTTAATAAAAAAAAACAATAATAAAAATAAATGATTACCATTGAAACCACAAACCCTCATCCACAAAACTCACTTGAATTAACCAGAGACAATAGAGAGCCAGATACTCTTCCAACCATTGGCATTGTACACTTTAAATTACAACGAGTTTAGTTGAGATGATAGAAGGGGTAACAATCTTACAAATTCGTTATAACGGGTTTGTTCTTTACATAGTTTTTTATTTTTTTCTGAAAGAATATGATTATTTAGACCTTCGTTGGATGGATCAAGCACAATGAGATCTGTCACTTCTTTGATGTGGCAGACTAAGATCTCATTTATTATCTCTTTTTGTTTGGAGTCAAGGTCTGCAATGTTAACGAGATTAACTTAGTTGTTGGGGCTGTGAGTTTAATCATTGTTGTTTGATTGGGAAATACTGTTGTCTGGAAAAACAGTCTAAAACCATTTGACAAGTCGAAAAGCATTTTATATATCAATGAAAAAAGTGGAAAGCGCTTTCAACATTACGAGAAATTATCTCTTTATTTCGAAATGACAAGATAATCGTTTTATTTGTTGCTGATTGATTGTTTTCTTTCTATTTTTTAAATTCTAATGTTGTGTGTTATTTCTTTAAAGTTAACGAGTTTTTAATTCGGTTTTGTTATAGAGCCTAAATCTTCTGTGAATTGTTCATTAAGTGATAAGAAATAGGCGTTACAATGTGTACAACACTATATGCAAAAAGATTGACACAAGTGTTGGTTCAATTTACTCATTATCAAAATGTTAATAATATTTTTTGTTTTATAAAACATTATATTTTGTCACCGACTTTATCCTTGTCACCCATATTTTCCTCTATCTGTACAACGCCGTTTTATTCGTTTTGTATGACAATTAGAATTCTGGAATTTTTATACTTTTTAATTTAACAAGCAGTTGAACTTATCATTTAAATATCGAGTTATATTTTATGTTGATTTATAACCGAATTCTACTTTTTGTTATTGTTTTTGTTATTGTTGAAAAATAGAGTTTCACCTTTGTTGTGAATAAAAAACAAAGAAAAAATAAAGTTGCACACTTGTTCGGAATGACTTTAATAAAAAAATAATTAATAATTAATAACAAAATAGTTCATTCAATAATTTATTTATTAGTTTTTTTATTAAAAGTATTATTATAATAATAATTATTAATATGTATAATAAAATAACACGCATATGGAATCGATTATATCCTTGTGATTCTTTTGTTTTTTCTTCCCTTACTTTTTTGTTTTTTTGTTTTTTTGTTTTTTTGTTTTTTTGTTTTTTTGTTTTTTTGTTTTTTTGTTTTTTTGTTTTTTTGTTTTTTTGTTTTTTTGTTTTTTTTTGAAGATAAGTTAGTTTGTTTCCCATTCTTTATACACACGTTGGTGTTATATAATAATATAAATAAATATGGTTTTTGGGACGGCTTCCCGTAATATTCCAATTATTATGTTCCAAAAGATACCAGATAACATTAAAAAAACAGACTGTAGTTGTTCAGTTGATTGATTTGAAACATGATGATGACAACGACTGCACACTCTTTTGTTGTTGGTATTTCACCATTGAAAAGTTTGACATCTTCTCGACGAAACACAACATTTGTGCACTCGATGTTGTGTGGAAGACCAATGTGTCTTCGTAAATCATTAAATCATAAATAACCTTTTTTGGAATTTTTTGTCAAAATCACTCTTTGAATAGAGATGGTAAGTCTCGATGTTAGGAAACAACATGTTTTCCTATTATGATATCAAAGGTATCAAATTAAAGTAGTGCATTTTACTCAGCAAATTGAATTTTTAACTGATCATCATAACAACTTTGAAATCTTTGACACTCGCAAAGTCTTTTTCAATGATCATCATTGAGTATCAGTCGACTTCTCCCATTTTATATTATTTTTTACTTATACTATTATAATTTTATTTTATTAACACACGTGTTATAGTATAACAATAATTACAAAACTACCAAATTACCACTTCTTATAATTAAAGAGTGAGACGAGTTGTTGATTCTGAAGCGCTGTCATGACATGCACACACCTGCGTGTTTGTATACATCAGGCATTGACAACATAATTGGGGCCAGTGATTTAGTCTACAGCTTCTCCCCATAGTGGGCTTGCTTCACCGACTTCTTTTCCTCCAATATTCCACTTTGGAGAATAGAAGTATGAGTCTTGTGGATATCTTGCAATGCCGCATTCAAGTTTGGTGTTGAACTTTCTGATGTTATCAAAGTGTTTTTTATCTTTATTTGATCAGTTACAATGTTATTGAACGCCATAGTTGCAGTCAATTTGTCGACGATCACTTTCTGCTTTTTGTTGTCCTGCCAAATAACTTGGACGAAGTACCTTTTCTCTTCATTCCAGAACAATTTCTCAAATGAAGTTGATAGGTCCTGCGCTCTCTTTCTCAGTAATTCAGCTCTTTTAGTATCTTTGTAATACTTTTCTACCATCATAGCAGCCGCTTACAATCTGTGGTTGCCTTGAATTTGTGTGAATCCATATTATCGCAGTGGGATACTTAAGGAAGTCCATGCGTTGCTGCTTTCCTCCCAAATCGAATAGTCTGGCTTTAAAATATTCTTCCAATCTCGATACAACAAGAAATTCACCAAATTTTCTAATTCGTTGTTCGACTGTTTCGTCTTTAATTAATTCAGTTGTTTGTGTCATTTGTGTGTAGTAGTAATAAAAATACAAAGCAACACCAATGGAATCACGCTGTGGCTCAACAAACCCCACATTTGTCCCATCTTACCAACTGTATGTCGTTACGGGAAATTCACAGTCTCGAAGCTCCGCTCTTGCAAGCCATTTCAAGAACTTTTCTGTAATTACAAAATTCCATTTTCGTATTCAAAACATCAATTTTATCGAGGTGAATTGTAATAATTTCAAACAACAGTTTTATAATTATTTTCATTTTTTCATTTTGTTTCTGAAATATTTTAATAGTTTATAACATATAACAATAAATATTATATTTTATTATAATTTAAAAAGAGCCAGATTTTTTTCCACTCACTTGTTTTTATAGTACTTATATATAATATTCTTTAACATTTTATTAATAAAATCAATAATTATAATAATAATTGTTAATTTAACCGGTTAAAAAGGACGAGATGCAAAAAAACGCGTTCAAAAATAAAAAAATGAAAAAACCTATTATTTTTTACCAAAATCAAATTTAAATTTATATATTTAAAAATTTCGGTATTATCATTTAAATGTTGGCTATTTTTAATTCATTTTTTTAATTTTTATAATTTGAATAAATCAAAATCAACAAAAATATTATTTGATTTGATTTGTTTATTTTTCGGCTCTTTGTTCACCCAGTTCTTTTGCTTTTTGCAAATTCACTCCTCTGCACAAATCACAGACAATTTCGTGATGATATTTGCAGACATGAGTATTACACACACAACAATTGTATTTATAATCACAACTAGTAAGACGATCTCCTCCGAGTTTGTCACAGATACAACAATGGCCTTTTTTCTTTTTTTTTGATCAATAGTGTCAGGAAAAGACGATGTGTCAATTATATCTACTCCTAGAAAAACAGCAATTATTCTTTTTTCATATGATGATACAGATTGATTAAGTCTTAAATTTGCATTTTTTTCACCCAACTGTAACGCGAGTTTTTGGTAGTATTTCAGTCTGGAATGTTTCGCGACAATGGCGCTAAGTTTATTTTGGAATTGTTCTTCAAAAGTTGGTTGTTGTTTTGTGGTGTCTTCGTTGATAGGATCAATTTGAGATACGTCCACTGATTGTATGAATGTTGTTCCTTCTGAAGTCTCTGTAGGTTTCCTCTCCACTTTAGACCATATATACATGATATAAGAATTATGGATTGCCATATCCAAAAGGTGGTAAAAAATTGCGAGAGGCCATCTTCTTGACACACGCTTTGTGGAGTACCTTGTCATAAGACGGTCAGCAACATCGACACCTCCCATAAACTTGTTGTAAACGAGATTGACATTAAATCTTTTTTCTTTGGTGTGCATTTTCAAATCAACAATTCTTGATGTCAGAATTTCAACACACCGATTTTTATCTTTAAAATTGACTAATTGAATTGGATTAACTCTTTGACCACCAAAAGTCTGAATTGCAATTGCGTTTTCTCTTGATTTGTTTGTTAGTAAAAGGTTCGGAGCCAAAAATTTGCGATTGGAATTAACTGTTCCAGTTAATGTCACCCCGTAAGGACTTAGAATGTCTGCGGCTTGTACGGAAGTAAAAAAACGATCGGTTGTCAAGTTTATGTTAAAAGTTGGTGTACCCAACTGTCTGTGATTCAATTCTTTTATTAATTGTACAATAACTTTGGCTCCTAAGTTATCAACAGGAATTCCATTGTTTGCTCCTCTATATACTTGAAGATTCATTATAAATCCTGAAATAGAATCAACAAGCAAAAAAAACTTAATTCCATATTTAGCTGGCTTTCCTTTCATGTAAGTTACGTTCTTCCATCTACCATAATAGCGATATAAATTTTCATCTATACTTATTTCTGTTGAGTTTAGATAATAATTGTTTTGTATGTCAATCAAATTGGAACGGAACCGTCTAATCAATTCACTTACATATTTAAAATTGTCCCAATTTAACTCTTCGTCTGCATACAATGAATTTATCATATCTTCCATATTAAGTCCATTGTGATTAGTCCTTGGTTGTATCAATACTGTTCTTGGGACTAAAGGGACTTCATGTGATGTTACATTATTGTGTTGTGAATATTGTGATAAAGAATGAAGAGTAATAGCGTTTTGGGTGTTTGACGGTGTTGTTGAATTAATTAATGTTGTGGTACAAGTAGATGTAGTTTGTTGTGATGAAATAACAATTTGATTTGAACATTCTGTATTTTGAAATGAATTGATTTGGGTGCTTCCTATTGGAATATAATTGCAATTTCCTCCAAATTGCATTCTAGTAGCAAGAAAAATTGTATTCAATTTTGTCAAACTTGTTTTTGGAAACGAAGTAGTAAAATTGTTGTTAATATCAATCGGGTCGTCATCTAAATTATCAGGTTGAATTTCTTCGTCTCTTGCTCTGACTATGTCATCTTCGTCATCTTCGTCATCAACTACGACTGATTCATTGTTTTCGTTATCACCTTTTCGTAAAACTACGCGTTCAAATGCATTTGAATCAAATCGTAGTGCCCATTTAATTTGCAAATAACGACTAATACTAATTGGTCCAACATACATCGGATTTGCTGTTACCTCACTCCACAAACATGAAAGGGGCAGTTTAGTATCAAGATAATTTGCCTGAGAAATAGAAACTGACAAAAAAGCATCAAATTCACTTTTGGTAATTTCTTTGAAGTGTTTACTTCCACTTTTGTTTTTTATTGCCTTTTCTCCAAATTTATTTGAAGAATTAATAATAAAATTTTTTATTTCTTCTGTAAAAAACAAATTGAAATAATCCAATGGAGTGGCATCGTTATTCATGTTAGATACTTTGGGATATCTATCAACAATAACCGAAAAGTCTTCATCGGTTGTTGAAAAAGAGGTTTTAACCCATGAAAGTTTTCCATCTTTACTCATGTATTCAACCATAATATTTTAAATTAAAATTCAGTTTATTTTTTATCAAGTTTGTTTGTAATAAAAAAGTATTTTTTATGGCAAAAAATTACTCATCAATTATTGTTTTTGAAAAGCAATAAAAACATTTAAGTATTTTGTATTATATATTGATAGTATCGAGAAAAAAAAAAGAAAATAAAAATTAATTATAACTATAAAATAATATATAAAGAACGAATACAAAACTGTGTTATAAATCCAATTGGATTTATATTATCAAAAAAACAATTAAAATGTGTTATTGTTATATCATTAGAAAACACACAGCAAAAAATGAAACGATAATATTTATTATTTAATATTTTTTTTCGTAACAATATATTGCTAACTCGATAAATTGTTTTGATTTGTATAGAAGCGAGCAATGAATATGATGTATTTAACAAACAACTTAGTCAAAGGCGATAATGTTATTGTTACAACTTCAACGATTTATTTGTTTATTTGAAAAAAACCAAAGTCCAAACAATCTTGAATTAGCCTTTATATTACATGTTATTATTTTTAAATTTCCTGTTTATCGATCAAATACCATATATATCATCAATTCATAACACATGAATATTAAATTATTTGGACTTGTGTATATTGAACAACAACAATATGAATATGTAACATTTATCGATGTTTATATTTTGCCAACAAGAATTTAAAAATATTATTTATTTTTAGATTTTTTTTATCAGTTTTTTATTTATAGAAAAAAAAACGCAATTTTTTGCGTCTCGTGCATTTTGCTAAAGAAAAAAAATACTGTTGGTCGGTTAAAATAATTTAATTGTGATCTATATTAAAACACATCAACAAACAAACTGACTGACAGTTTTTAAGTAAATATATTACTCATAAATATAGTAAATATATGATTCAATAATAGCTTTGATAAAACAAACAAAAAGACTAAACAACAGAATGAAGATAATTGAGGTTGTTTTGTTTCAAACACCCTATTAATGCATCAATGATGAACAGAGTAGTTTCACTCATTTTCCTCCGAATAATAACTCTTCTGTTCTATCAAAGTATTGCACGTTTATAAAACAACCTAAATTTATCAACAACACCAAGTATTATGATTCAATGTTTTGTTATTGTCCATTCTATGACATTTTATATTAATTTGGTATATTAAACCACTGTCTGATGTTTGAAAGTGATGAAAAGCAACAATAAATTAATCAACAAGTAATAGCAAGGTGACAGCTCTGTTCTGGTTGATTTCACTTAAATATGTAAGAGGAAGTATGGTTAATGACAAATTTTATTTTGATGAGTTAAATTATTATTTAATCGTTATTAAACAATTTCTAATATTTTATAATATTATCAACTATAATTAATAGTTTTATTTTGTATAGTATAATTATTATATTAATAAACTATTCATTTGGATACTATACATTTTAATATTTTATAGTTTTGTTGTTAATTGTCGTTTTAAGTAAAAAATGACCGCGGCAAAAAATTACCATCTGTAAAGAAAAGGTTTTGGAGATCGTAAAAACAAACAATACCATGAATTTTACTTCAAATTACTTTATTTTTGGCATAAAAACAAATAAAATATACCCCTTTTTATTTTAAAATGCATTTTTGGGACAAGTTCTAAATTTTTCCTTGTTCCGTGATAGACCCTGATTGAAATTATAATCATTTTATGTAAGTTTGAATGATTTATTTTTTGTTTTTGATTGGAAAAAAATCATTTTGTATGAGGTAATAATGTTTTTGAATGAGATTAAAAATTAAATATAAAAACAAAAAAACTCTATTAACATACAATGGAAAACGAGTTAACAGCACTCTCAACACTCTGCACTAACGCAGCAACAGCGGTGTCAGACCTCAACAAAAATAAAAGGGAATACAACTTTGTTGACGACAAATCACTTAACATTGATCAACGCATTGAAAATGCAGAGGGACACTTCGACAGACTCGATGAGGTATTTGAGAGAAAGAAGAACATCACAACTTCACTCAACACAATTGTCACTGGTTTGGACAACGCATCAAACAAAATCAAAAGTGAGATAAGTCTGTATTCAACACAGAGTGACAACGACAAGTTGTATGAGATATTCAATATCAAAATAGCACTTTATGAGGAAAAGTGTAAAATGGATATAAAACCACTTGAAGATGAAATTGACAGAATCAAACAAATTAAGAACACTAAAATTGATCAAATTATGAAATCAGAAAAATTCATCAACTCAAAGAGACAACACGATGAAGAAGAAGAGAAAAAGAAAACACATCACACTTGAAGAAAAAGCTGGTCTTGAGAAGTTGACAGAAATGAAAATTGCGAGTGTAGTGTTTGACTCAGAAAAAGACGACTGGTCAAAAAACAATTCCTCATTCGATACAAAAGTCATTAACAAAAGCAACTTGTGCTTCTTAATAGAAGACACTAATTACAACAAATTTGGTGGCGTGTTCACTAGTAATATAAATGCAGTTGATAAATGTCTCAACAGTGGCAGTTCTTACATATTTTCACTTGTGAGAGGTGGCGCTTTGAATCCAAAAAAGTTTGGTAAAAGTGGAATTAACACCGATTATGAATTTTGGATGAATTCTCAAGACAATTCATGTCTATTTGGATTTGGTGGTGGTCATGATATAGGTGTGTACAAGAAAGGTGAAAATGGTAGTTATTGCTACCCATCCACTTACACTGCCAAGCAGAACGAGTTGATTGATAATCGCAATTTCACACCTAAGAGTGTTGTTGTCTTCCAACTTAACTGACTTATTTGTCACCTTTATTTTAATTCAAAACACTCCAACACATTGACTCCAAAGTGTCATTATGTAATTTACCACGTCATCACCACAATTTGAATTAATGTACAACAAGTTTTAACAAAATCTGTCCTTTTGAAGGGTCGGACAGACTGAAAGAAAACGGGTTTTACCCTTCAAACCTAACACTGGAACGAACACTCGATTAGGATATCTTTGATGTTTCTTTTTTCAGGCATCTTCTCTTTGTGTATCTTCTGGAGATGGATTCACGACGCCGCAACTCGCCGGGTTCAACAAGTTTCGACAGTTGCGGCATATCTACTCTTTGTGTCCCATTGTATCTTTATGAAGTATATTAATTGAAAAGTAGTTTGGTATTTTATTTATTATGGGTTTTCTCAAACCACAAACTATAGTAATTAACTATTAGAATCATATTAAAGTTAATATTGTCATCTAAAAACAAATAGCACAAATGTTGATATAATTAATTAGGGGGAAGGAAAAAATAATAAAGACAAAATACTCCAGAAAATAATAATCATTTCAATAAAAGTTAAAAATTAAAATTTAGAACAAAAATGTAATAATTTAAAAAAAAATATTATAATAAATAATTTGTAATATACAAATAAAATAATTGTATATTATTTTTAAACAATAGTTATAAAAACATTAAACAATTGGATTTTATTTTAAAATGATTTTTATAAAAAATTGATATTTTTCAAATATTTTTTTAACTAAGCTTTGATAATTATAATATACAAAATTATACTTGTAGTTGATTATTGTGTTTAAAAAATACTATACATATTTAATACATTATTAAATACTAATTGGGTTTTTTATAAAATAAAATTCCAAAAAGCAAATGACTGAACCACGAGTAGAAACCTTTATAAGTCAGAAAAAACACAATGTGGTTTAAAATTACCTCTGCCAATAGTTGATGGTTATTTTTTGTTACAACTGGTTTTGAAAGAAAAACTTTCCGTTGTAAAACAAAGGGGTGTTTGGTTTGTGTGGAAGTGTTTGAGTCTGTTAGTATCGGAGAAAACGAAGTGTTTACAAAAGTTAAATACAAAAATGGTTCGGTTCATATTCATGATAAAAATGTTACACATGGAAAAAAAGAAGAAAGAAAACAAATAACAAAATTAATTAAGAGAGGTAGGAATTGCTTTTTGGAAACCAACGAACTTGTTTCTTTATATCAAGATGAATATGGAGAGAGTTGTTATCAAAAAGAAACACTTAGAAGATACATAAACCAAGAAAAAAGAAGAAGCGTCTAGAAAAGTAAAATGTATTTTTGGATGGTAATGATTATTGGACTTACGAAGATGAAGAATTGTTTATATTTTCATCATTGGAAAAAATAAAAATATTAAAAGGAAGAGAAATGACTTATATATGTCTGGACGGAACATTTTCTTCTGCTCCTAATAAATGGTATCAATTATATACTATACAATGTGTTCTAAAAAATGGAGTTTGTCTTCCTTTGTTTCATTGTTTAATGAAAAGCAAATCAGAATCATTATATACAAAAATGTTCGATGTAATAGATTCATATTATTTCCAAATGTTTGATTTTCACCTATTTTCACCAAAAACCAGTGTAATGTTGGATTTTGAGGTAGCCGTGTTAAACACTTTAAAGAAGTACGAGTGTCTTTGTCATGGTTGCTATTTTCACTTTTGCCAAATTTTATGGCGAAAAATAATTGAATTGGGAATGAAACCGTATTATCTTCCTGGGAGTTTTATATGGAAAACAGCCAAATAATTAATGGTCATACCATTTTTTAAACCAAGAGATATGATTGCACAATTTGAAATAGTAAAAAATGATATCGTAATAACACTTGAATTAGAAAAGTGTGATCCATTTTTAAAAAATAATATTTTGGCATTTGTTGACTATCTTGAAATGAATTGGATGTGGAAATGGCCATTGCCTTTGTGGTGCCAGTACAAACAGTCATCGAGAACAGATAATATTAGTGAGAGTTATCACTCAGCTCTTGTTAAAAGACTGTCTTCAAAAAAGCCGTCTTTTGAAGTGCTGTTATTGAAATTGGTATCAATCGAAAATGAAGCAATTAGAGTTGTTAAAGAAATTAACCAACGCCCATCAAAAAACACCAAAAGTGTAATTAAAAACAAATCAATTTTTGCAGCAACCACTTCGTTTTATTCCAATTCGATCACAAGTGAAGAATTTTACCAAGCTATTATGAAAATACAGACCAGAGAAAACTTGGAATTATCTTTCGAAAAAGCTGTGGTCGAAGAATGTGTTCTTGGAGATTGGAATATTGAAGAAATAAACATCGAAGATGTTGGTTTTGTAGAAGATCATTTGAGAAATCGAACAACAGATAGTAAACAAGTAATAAATGATGATAATGAGGCGATTGAAGGAGAGTTTGAAAAGAATCCATGTGATGATCAGGAACTAGGAGAAACATTAAATATTGAAATTGATAGTTCCAAAATAGTAAACAAAGTAAAAACAATTAAAAAAACAAAAAATAAAACAACAAAAAGTCCACACGAAACTGATTCCAAAAAACCAAAAACGAAAGAACTTATTTATGACAAATATGTAAAAACAACGATTATAAAAAACAAGAAAGATGATGGTGATTGGATATGTTCATCTCGTAGAAAACAACCTGGGTGTGTTATTAAAAAGAAACGTTCGAGAATATATAAACAATAACATTTATTAATTAATTTACAAATAAATTATTTATTAAAATATTTTAAGTATAATTTAATAAAAATAACATAATAAACAATGTATTTTTTGTCTATAAAAACATTAAATATAATATAAAAATATATTTAATAAATAAAATCAACAATGATACTTTTATGAGTTTAAGTGAATTAAGTTTAATTCGATAATAAATATCTATTATTGAAAAAAATAATTGTTGTAATTAAATTTGTATAATAATTAATATTGAACTTTTTTTGAAATAATTATTTTGTTCCTTAGTATTTTATCCAGAGTATTATAACTTGATTATATTATCACGTAATCAATTAATTATTTTTTAATAGTTTGGTAACACAAATTTTTAAAGCAACAAACTAAGAAAAGATCAATAGACTTTATTACATAATTAGAATATTACAATTGACAGTATATAGTAAATTGACTATTTTAAATAAATAAAAACATCAGTGATGTTGTGAAATGAATCGCTACTTTTAAATGTATTTTTGGGTTCGACAGATAAAGTTAATTTGATTAAATCAATTTGTATCGATTTTGTATCGAAACTCTAATTCCTTATTAAAAATAGAACATCACAATCTTTATTGTCATTGGAAATATCCATCACTCAATGAAAATTATTTGAAAAGGCATCTTTCAGAGACTCGAGGCATCTAGTTGAAATTAAACTATAAAAAATAATAAAAATATTGTATTTTTAATAACTAGACTCTTGTATTTAAACTAGATTTTAATTTAAAAAATACTAAAACAATGTAATAATTATTAATCCTTGTCTTTTCGTGTTTTACTTGAATCGATTTGTTCTTAGTCTTCAAAAGTAATTGCACTCACCCGATCAATTTCAAGTTGTTTGTTGTTCAGATCTTCACCAAATTTTCTGAAATGTCTTCCAACTCGGCAATTCTCAATTCTCCATCTCTGACTGATTGTTGTGTCTTCTTCAAACGGCTTGTGTCTTACCAATATGAGTGTTGAATGTAGACTCCTTCTGTTCGAATTCTGCAAGCTTTCTTTCAGCCTCTTCAACCTTTTTAGCATACTGTTTAGCTTGTTTCTTAGCTTTAGCAGCCGCGTTTTGTGCTTCTTCCTTTTCTGTTTCGATTCCTTCCAATTCTGTTTCATATTTCGCTTTCAATTTAGCAATAGAAGCTCCAGTAGCACTAGCATCCACCAATTTAGCTTCTGAATCAGTGACTTTAGCTCTAAGTTTTTGAGTTTCCTTGTCGGCTTCTTGTTTCATTGCTCTCTCCTTCTCAAGTTCCTTCTGTGAATCAGCTTTTTGAGCAGTCAACTAGTTAATAAATTCATCAACATGTTCCTTATATTCACCGAATTCGTTTTCACTTCTCTGAGTTTGTCTGCATTGCTCTTCTTCTGTGCTTTAGCCTGTTGGGCAGTTATTCTTTCAAGATCAAGTTGCTCATTCAATTCAGTCAATTTCTTCTCGTAAGTGTTCTTCGACTGTTTATAAGTCTTCGCAGCTTGTTCAAGGGCTTCCAATTCAGTCTTCATCTCAGACATATCATCTTCAAGTTTGTCGCATTCGTCTTGTTTCTCGTCGAGTTCTGTCTTTGTTCTCATCAATTCTTCAGAAGCAGCCTTATTATCTCTCAGAGTCTTGACCTTCTCTTGTTCAGCCATCTGGACTTTCTTCTCAAGGGTTTCAGCTCTGACTGTGATTTCAGCGATATCCTTCTCGTACTTTCCTTTCATCAATTGGGTCTTGGAATGGTCTTTCTTTTCTTGATCAAGTTCAGTTCTAACACTCATCAGTTCGTCTTTGTATTTCTGTTTCATCGCTTCATTGCCATCTTTGTCATCATTTGCAGTGTCAAGTTGTTTCTGTGCATTGTCAACTTCGGCATTCAAGTCGTTGATCATTTTGTCCATTTCCTCCAAATCCTTTTCATTCTTCTTCTTCTCGTTGGTGAGTTGATCAACTTGGACAGACAAGTCATTCGCCTTTTTAGTCAACTTTTCTTTAGTGTTATTTGCTTCATCTAAGTTGAATTGGACTTCCTGAATTTGCTCTCAGCAGCCTTTCGAACAGCATTTGCACTGTCAGCATTCTGTCTTTCTTCATCGGGTTGGGCTTGAATTTCAACAATTCTTGCATTCAACATTTTTTATCTTCTTCTTGAGCAACAGAAGCTGGTGCACTGACTTGGACTTTAAATAACAGACTTGTGCATTGAGTGCTTTAACTTAGTCTTCCATCTTCTTTCTTCTATCAGATTGGTCCGCAGCAGTTTTCTCAGCCTCCGCTTTGTTGTCCAATGCCATCTTCTTTTGTGCTTCAAGTGCATTAATCTGTGATTCATTATTCTCAATATTCAAAGCGTCTTCAATTGACCACTTTTTATATCCTTCTTAACAGCATCAAGTTGAGTGTTCTGATCTTTCAACGCAGCAACTGCCTTTTCCAAATCTGCAATTTGGTTGTCTCTCTTGATGACTTCAGTTTGGTCGATATTTGAAGTCCCAACTGGTCTATCTTCAAGGTCTTGTACTTGTTGTTCCAAATCGGCTATTTTCTTCTTGTCTTTAGTTGTTCTGTCTCTTAATTCAGTAAACTCAGTGTTTTGCTTTTAAATCTCTTTGTAACCTTTTTATTAAACCATTCAAGTTGTTGGTCTCGTCTTCGTGTCCAGAGACTAAGTTATTGAGTTGGTCATATTTGTCTTGAAGCTTCTTCTTTTCAGAAGAAAGTTGGTCTTTGTCATTCGCCAAATTTTTCACCTTCTCTTTAATTTCATCGTTTTCTGCTTTCAACTTCTTTGCCTCTTTTTCTTTTGCAAATTTTTCCTTCTTGACTGTTTCAAGCTCTTCATTGGCTTCAGCAACTTCTTGTCCTCTTCTTGTGATAACACCAGAAAATTCGTCGACTTTGGCACTCAATTCCTCAATCTTTTTATTACTCTAATTAACAGTTCCATTGAGTTTCTTCTTATCAGCAGCATCAGTGTCGGCATTCTTTTTAAGATAGTCAAAGTTCTGTTGGAGTTGGCCGATTTCGGCTTTAGTTCTTCCCAAGTCGGTTTTAGTAATTCTTAACTTCTCATTTGCGGCTTCAACTTCTTCATTAAGAGCAGCTTTTTCTCTTTCAGTGTCTTTCAATTTGGCATCGACAACTGATTTTGCTTTAGTCAAATTGTCATTGTCAGCATTCAATTAAGTCAGTTGCTTCTCTTGAGCATCTTTCTTTCTGTTCATATTCTCAGCATCAGCTTCAAGCTTGTCTTTCTTATTAATAGTTTAGGCAAGTTGTTCGTTCAAGTTATTGCTTTCAACGTCTTTTTGATGCATATTCGATTTGGCACCAGCCAAGTCTTTTCCAGTCTTCTCCACATCATCTTTCAAAACTTGGATTTTTCGTAGTCGGCCTTCTGTGCTTTCAACATATCAGAGTCATTCAGTCCGTCTTCAATTCTCTTCGTCAACTTAGCAAGTTTTCTGTTCTTATCTTCTAACTCATCTTTCTCTGAGTCCAATAATGAAATCTTCTTATCACTTGCATTCTTGGCCAAAGTCAAAACAGCAGTCTTTGTCTTCTCAGCTTGCAATTATTGGTTATACCCATCTTTTTCGTCTGAAACCTTCTTGTTCTGAGCAACTTGTTTGTCGAGTTTCTTCTCAGTATCGTCAAGAGCTAACTGAGTCTTTTTCAAATCATTCTTGGTATTGGCAAGATCATTCAAACAGAGCCAGTGTTTTCATTCTGTGCGTTGACATCAGAAATGGTGTTTTGCAACTTTTTGACTTGTTTCTCTAAATCAGCAATATCGTCTTCCTTTTCGTGCAATTGTGTCTCAAGATCCTTTGAATTGTCTTCTTCGGCCACTAACTTCTTTTTCAAGTCAGAAATTTCGCCTTCCTTATCTTTAATGTTTTTGTTCAACTCGGTGATGACACTATCCCTTGAAGCAATAGTCGCTTTGTGTACGGTAATTCCGTCTTGAAGTTTTTGATTATCAGCTTCAAGTATCTTGTACTCAGTGGTTAACTTGCTCAAGTCTTCCTTTCCTCTCTTAATATCACCTTGGAGTTCTTCAATGTGTTCTTGTTCTTCTCGTGACTTCATATCAGCCTTGTCAAGAGAAACCTTCTTTGGATCAATATCTTCTTTAAGCTTTTAAACTAAAGCTTCCAAGTCGACGTTCTTGATTATAATTTCAGAAAGTGCCTTCTCAGCGGCTTCTCTTTTTGCAATTTCTTCAGCAAGCTTCTTCTTAAAAGTTTCAATTTCTTTGTCTTTAGTTGCGAATTAACACTCATCGACTCTTCTTCTCTTAAGTGTTGGTAGGACCTTTTGGAACAATCTGAACCAGACCCGGTTTCTGAATTGGTACCAAATGTGAATGGTGTCTTAAATGACAATGATAGCAATCTGTTCATCGAGTTTCCATTCAATAAGTTTTCTTTGTGAGCAATTGCTTTTGCGCACATATGAAGACCACCAACAATTTCATTGACTCTGTTCTCTCTAATCTCTTCAATTTCAGCAAGAACACAAACCTTGAAGAAAATCTTGGTCTTACCAAACTTGAATTTGCCAGTGTTCACTCTTGGCTTGTTTCTTGTACTTCTCACAAAATAGTTTCATGAGATCCTTGACTACTGGCATGGCATCTGAAGACTTCTTGTTGATGTTCGTTCCAAGAAAAAAGTATCTCTTCAAGAATTCGTTGTAGATGATTCTGTTTGGATACGAGTAATTCTAATACCTTCCAAGACACCATTGCATCTCAATTGCTTCAAGATCGTCGAGTCAATGAAGTAGCGTCTTCTCTTCTGTCTATTTATTTGGAATAATACATATAATATGAAGTGTGGTGTAGTCATTCTCAATTTCTTCATAAGATCATCAATTTGTTCTCTGTAATTAGATCCCATAGTCAAAAACTTGGCACCTCTCTGGCCCTTGTTGGTCCCACCAGCCGAAGCTTTGAAGTTATCACCACCGGCAACATGCAAACTGAACAATTCTGAAATAAACTTCCCTTGAGCAGCCAAGATAGTCTTTTTTATTTGTGGTTCCAATGGTTTTTTGTTTTTTCAAATTCTGTCAATATCATCATATCTTAGTTTTATTTAAATTTTTCAGTTTTACTTATTTACTAATTTTTTTATTTATATAAATAATATAATAATACTTTATTGATATTAATATAATGAAATATATGGTAATGTTTGCTAGAAAAGCTATATATGCCCAGTGAATAATTTTCATAGTAAAACATAAAAAAATGTATAGTAGTATATAAATTATGTTAAATTAGGGGAACAACATTTTAAACTATATTTTATCACAATTTAATTAAATCGCGAGGGGGACGGTTTTGGAAAAACCTGAAGGGGCGAAGCCCCAACGCAGAGATCTGAATTTAATTATAGATCAATTTTATGGTAAATTTATAGTAATTAAGTTTTATAGTAAATTTATAGTAATATGGTTTTTTATCTTCCTTAAAATAATTAAAGGGATAATTAAACTTGATTATGATAAAGATGTTGATAATTATGTTAAATATGATTTAGATGACAAATCCTTATTTGTTGATCTTAGATGTGGATATAGAATTTTAATTAAAAGAATGGAAAGATTCAAAGAATATTTGAATGATTATCTTAACACTATACAAAGTAATGAAAATGAAATATGTAATTACCAAACTTATGAATGTTGGTGTAAAACATATCCTTTAACAGATAAATATGCTTTGAACAAATTGATTAGCGTTCTAAAAACAAGAATATTTCATCATGATGAAATAATTAAAGCTGTAAATTCAGATTATGATATCGATATACCAGAACCTTTAATTGTTATAATAATAAAAGTATCTATTTATAAATATTTATTTTCAAATAATTTACTTATATCTAATTTGTTAACAGTAATATAATGTTCTAATATAGAAAGCATCTTATTAATAATTCTATCTCTCATATTATTTTGGTTGTTTTCTAATTCTTCTATTTTATTAAGTAATAATAAAATAACAATAATTCTAATTATTCTTGCTTTTCGTCATCTATATTTTTGACTTTTTTTATTTAAATCATTTTTAGTAATTCTATATTGTTTCTTTATTAATGTTTGTTTGGCTTTAATCTTACAGAATACATAACCATTTATATAAATTGCAGCATTTAAATATTTTGTATTGATAAAGTTAACTTATGGATTATTATTAATAAATCTATTGATTTCTTTGTTACATTGTTTTAACATATCTATTTTTTAAATTGTATTTGTATATTATCTTCTGTAACGCAAAAATATGTTTAGAAGTAATAACTGACAAACTTTCAGTCTTTGACACAGGATTTTTTTCCGCCTTCGGCATGGATACATCGCAGATGCGGACTCCACATCCTTTGGATGTGTCTATGCTTTGCCCAGAATGTTTTTCACCACACCTTTTAGATGTGTCGATGTTTCGCTCAGCTTTCGGCATGATGCTTTGCTCAATATTATATTCAACTTCACTTTCATCAATTTCATTTGGAGAATAACTCATACCAAATAATGTTTTTGGTGTTACATCGTTCACTCTTTGGAGTGATGCTTCTTTTACTTTAATATTTTTAGAAAAGTCTATTTGTTTAAATGGGTCCGTCTTTGTAGTTTGATTTGTTTTATTAGAAGAAAACAAATCTTTGAAAGTGTTTTTAAGGATTTTAATTTTGATTGAGAAGTATTACCTGTACTCATTTATATTAAGATAAAAATAAAAATATATTATTAATAAAGTAATATTAATGTAATATTATAATAAATATAAAAATAACATACTCAATAGATGTCTTCAGATAAGATGTAAAAATATTACTCTGTTTTTACAAAAAAATACACTCAGGTTTGAAGAAAAGTAAATATCTATTAGATTACCTGAACTGTAATTTCATTGATGAAA